GACAGACATGGGGTCAATTACATTAGAAAGTAATATATTACTATTACTATTAACTAGAAAAAAATTCTATTACTATTACAATTACATGTTTAGTAGATGTAAATGTAATATATTACTATTACTATTACTCCACTAATTTCATTATTACTATTACTATTACTGCATATGCATGACTAAATGTAATCTAATTATATTACGATTACATTATAATTTCAAATCAATTCTCGTTAAAGCAAATGACCATTACATTTTATACTTATAAGTTTCTCAAAAACAGTATCAGAAAGTCTGCATCATTCCGGTCTAAAAAATTTCCCTCCTATACTGAATACCACTGGAGCAGATGAACCTTTTGTCAGAGCAGACAGACTTGAATGCACATACATGTACCTGTACATGTACATTGAATACTTGTACAATAATGTATTACAATATGTACAATTACTATTATATTACTATTACTTAACTGTCTTCTACTATTACAATTACTATTACTTGGCTTTTTGATTCCTCCATTACTATTACTATTACAATTACTTTAAAACATGTAATCTTTACTATTACTATTACTATTATCTATTACTATTACCCCATGTCTGATACAAGACAGAGTATACTAGTGGGATTAATCACTCTTTGCGATCTTGTGTATCTTCACCAAGCGACCAATGCCAACCAATCAAAATCCACACCATGACATTATTTTTTAACATTATTTATATGTAAGCTATGTGTAATTATTATTACTCAAATATTTAGACATAATTTCTGGTGCTCAAAAGAATTTTTTATAAACACGATATTTATTGTATACAAGGAGTACAATGTATCGGAAGAAGGCAGAAGATTACTGATTCAGTATTTAAAAGCTAAAAAAAGCGTTTTTTAAAAAAAAAAAAGCTAAATAGTGAAGTCATTTAGTCATGCACTTGGTTCTACAACCGGCTCTAATGGATTGATAGTGGAAGATTACTGACTCAATATCTACAGTGTATTAGCCATGCCCTTTAACTCAAAGTTATTAACATTACACTTCTTTAATACAAAAATGAAAGTAAGAGTAGTAATTAATAATAATAATAATAATAATAATAATAATAATACGGAACTTTACAAAAATTGGCATGAGCTGTAAAATGTGAGAAAATTGCTGAACATTCCAACATAACAAAATGTATGCAGTTTCCTCTTCTTCTCTGTATAATAATAATAATAATAATAATAATAATGTGTACTGACAACAACAATAATAATAATATTAATGATAATAATAATATTTCAGTTTACAAGACAGTGGCTCACATTGACCTAATAATAAATAAAATGAATAAATTAAATTAATATCATTATACAAAGTACATGTACGTGTATAAAAAGTGATAAAATTTGATAATTATTCACTATATAAAAAGGTTTGGTTTGGTGGTTAAAAATATTGACATACGTACATGTATGCTAAATTGGAGACTAAAATTTTGGACCTCAATTTGCCAAATTCACAATAGCCAACCATTCACATTACTGGTTATTAATTATTATTACAAGGTAGCTATTAACTACTGGTTATTTACTAATTAGTTATTAAGTACTAGTTATTAAGTACTGGTTATTACCTTCTTTGAAGTTGTGTTACTAGACACTTAATAAATATTTCACTAAACCCAGGATTAGATGACTCCAGTAGTTCAAAGGCTCTCTCCAGTTCTTCAATGGCCAGGTTACTCCGTCTGTCAGGTGAGGGCACTTCTCTCTCTGGACTATTACCAGATCCTCCTCCTTCAAACGCTTCAGATTTTAACTAAAAACAACAACAACAACAACAACAACAACATGTTCATAATAATGACAGCTGGTTTCTGTTTATTCTATTTTCCTCACAATATTTCCCAAACTAAAGTCCATTAGTCCACATCAAAACAATCCATGTACATGTACATATGATAAGCTAAACCTTTATCCATTAATCTATACATGTACATGTATAATCATAAAAAAGGCTAAGTACTACTTCACAGTTGCTCTACTTTTGCACAGGTACATGTACATGTAGTTCAGTGCTCCTTCACTGCGCATGCTTACTGCAACAGCAGCTTGACAGTGGAAGACTGTAGCTTGACAGTAGCACGACAGTAGAATGAAGCAAAAAAAACATCTTAAACGGCTTCTAGAAGGAGTGAGTAGCATTATAGATGAACTTTGAGAGAACAGACAGCCAAAGAAGCATCTACAAGTTCTACTACAGTACATGTGACTGGGTGGGATCGCAGCATAACACAGCGAAGAGTAACGAAGAGTAGCAAGGTAAAACAGCAGCTACCTACAAATCACCTTTAAAATTCTCTCCTCTATTGTACATGTACTGTACCGTATAGCGCTTTATTTTGGCGATTTTGTAGTAAAATTGTACATGTAATTGGCAGTTTTTAATTTGGCAATTTTTAATGTTTTATCATCTTGTTAATAAAACATTATTATTAATAATTTTGTGCTTACTCTGTTCATGACAGGGTGAATGATCCGGTCAATAACTGGTATAACTGGTTCAACTGGTCTGACTGGTTCTACTCCTTCCATTGACTGGTCACTGAGTCTACTGTCAGGATCTGATACTCTTTCATCATCCTGTGGATAATAATAATAATAATAATAATTAATAATAATAAAATAAATAAGTACATGTACATGTACATGTACAGTAAACTAAATTAATTGTGAATTCTCTCCTTTTCATTTTTAGCAATTTTTTTGAATAACTCTAAAATTTTGACAAGCGAAAACCCATTAGTTCCATTGTCACAAAATCCGTGACAAGCGAAAACCCATTAGTTCCATTGTCACAAAATTTGGTCCAATACCGTGAACTGTATATGGTACAGGAACTTTGGCCTGATTTTGGAGCAACTTTTATGTATGTACATGTATTACTATTATTATTATCATTATTATTATTATTATTATTATTATTATTATTATTATTATTATCATTATTATTATTATTATTATTATTATTATTATTATTATTATTATTATTATTAATTACGTTGCTAGTGAGATTGGTTGATAATCCATTAATAGGTCCATTACTAACAGGAGCAGGAGGAGTTGGTACTGGTACTGGAACTGGGCTGGTCTCCTCTTTATTGAAGAGCCTAGGAGCCTCTGAAGTTGAGGTCTCTCTTACTGTATCAAACTTCCAATCAGGAGGATCAGTGGTATCATCATCACCTCTGTGTACCCTAATGGGGAATGAATCATGAGAATGTGAATTAATCACTGATCAGTATCAATCAAATTTGATCAACCATTGATCAGTATCAACCAATCACTGGTCAATTCAAATCAAATACTGTAAACCCAAATAATTTAACAACCTTCATGCTAACGTTTTTGCAATGGTGGGTACAACATATTAATGTCCAATAACTTTAACAATTTTTACAATCACTGTACACGTGTACATGTATTATAAACCCAATGCATATTAACATTCATGTACGTCTTTTAAGTTAACAAAAGTAGGCCAATGGTTAAAATAGTTAAAATTTAATGAATAGTAATTTGATCAGAGACAATCAAGTATCAAACAATCATTGATCAGTATCAATCAATAACTGATCAGTATGAATCATTAACATACTTTGATCTGCTGGTGTCTTCAGAGTCAGAGTCGCTGTTCTCTCCTGATGCCTTCCACCTCTTGTACCGGTCGATCAGGTCAACCAGACAGGAGGTCTTCTTAGCGTGTTTTATGAACTTGTGACGTAACAAATCACGAGCACTGGGTCTCTGGAAATGTACATGTAAATAAAAACTATTTTAACCAAAAAGAGTTTGTTGGCTATGCATGTACACGTAAATTTAGAAAGTATGTGTATGTACATGTACATGTACATGCGTACAATGCCGTACATGTGTAGGTGGGACGGAATTAAGCAAATTTTGCTAGTAGTAGTACATTGCATTGTAATTGCTAAACCTTTCACATGTTGTAGACTGCCAAAATTGTTCAAATTAGTACATGTAGACTGTAGTACATTAACATGTACACAACACATATACATGTGTACATGTACAGTATGGAAAGGTTTCATTTTTCATTTACGTTTTTGGGGTCTTTATTCAAGCAGAGGGCGATGAACTCTTTAAAACTTTTAGAATAATTCCCGAGGAGCTCTGGCGGGTTTGATTTTGGTATTAGGAATAAAACTCTCATTGGATGAAGATCAGCATGAGGAGGCTGGCCCTGTGCTAGTTCAATAGCTGTGATACCTAGGGACCATACATCAGCCTAGGGAGGGA